ATCCCCAAGGTCCCCCCGCCGGCCTTCAGCGACATCGCAAAGGCCTCCAACGACGTATGTTTTGGTTCCCCCGCGACGAGCTTCACAATAGCGCCATTGCTAACCCGCACCCTCTCTAGCTCATCAACAAGGACTTCTACCACACTGCCGCAGGTCAGACGCTGCCATTGACTCTGCGCGCCCATCTGCTAACCCCCCACCAGCTGCCCTCGAGGTCAAGCTCAAGGCCCCCAACGGTGTTAACTTCACTGCCAAGGGTACCTCTGCCCACGATGGCCCCGTCACCTCCTCTGTCAGTACACTGCCATCGATCGCTAAAGGACGCAATTCGCTGACAAAAGACGCAGCTCGAGGGAAAGAAGTCGCTCTCCAACGGTACGGCAATAACTCGTTCATTTCTTCCCCGCTCTGTCAGCCTAACAATACCTTTTCATTCATCACCCGGTTTTTGCTCGTACATGTTTCACTCTGCGCAGCCTCCAGGAATCTGGGGCACGTCCGTTACAGGCTACGGACTCAATTGGCTGACGACAAACCGCACAGGTATCAGCATCACCCAGTCATGGAACACTGCCAACCTGCTGGCTACCAAGGTTGAGCTCAACGACACCTTCGCTAGCGGCTTGAAGACTGAGGTCCTCTCCAACTTCAGCCCCGCAGCTGGTAACAAGGGCCAAAAGGTCAACCTTCACTTCAAGCAGCCTGCCTTCCACGGCCGTGCTTTCGTCGACTACTCTGCTGCTGGCGCCATTGGCACCACCGCTGATGCTGTCGTTAGCCACGAGGGTATGGTTGTTGGTGGTGAGGTTGGTTACGACGTCCAGAAGGCTGCCATCACTAAGTATTCGGCTGCCGTTGGATACACCACTCCTCTCTACAACGCCGCTGTCACTGCCACCAACTCCCTGAGCGTCTTCACTGCTTCTTACTACCAGCGCGTCAACCCCGCTGTCGAGGCCGGTGCTCGCGCCGTCTGGGACTCAAAGTCCGGCAACAACGTCGGTCTTGAGCTTGCCGCCAAGTACAAGCTTGACCCTCTGTCTTTCGCTAAGGTACGTCTAGGTCCCTGACATGCACATGGATTTGTATGCTAAACCCTTCTAGGCCAAGATCAACAACCTCGGCATTGCTTCCCTCGCCTACAACACCAAGGTCAACAGCGGCCTGACCTTTGGCATTGGTGGCTCTTTCGATACCCAGAAGCTCAACGAGGCCGGCCACAAGCTCGGCACCAGCTTCACCTTTGAGGGTTAAGCGTCTCTTCGGGATGCACCTGTAGTAGATGACAGGATGGAGAAAAAATGAACAGAGGCTTTGACTTGCTTTGGTTCTCGCGAAGCGGCATTATATCAATATAGTCTGGAAAGAAGACTAATAGTCTTGTGCTTTATGCAGTAGGATAATCTTCTTCAATGCAAGCCTTTCAAGACTATGTACATAATGTATTTTGAATGGTCAAATATGGGCATGGTGAGATGTGATTTTGCAGACATGCGTATTTCTATTGATTTCCGGAATGTTTCTAGAACCAGATCCCTTGCTAGCAGTAGAGACGGGAGGCACCGCTGCTAGTTCCTCCCCACATGTTGGGAAACGAGGCTTGTGGAGATGCCGACGCACCTGCAGGGCAGGGCAGGGCATGGCATGACATGACACCACATATAAAAGTTACCAGGCACCTGGTCTTGGCCTATCGCAAGAGATCAGGGACACGCAATGCAGGGATTTACTCTGGCCTTTGTCGATCTCCCTTGAAGACGCGAAAAGCGTTTACAAAAGTGGTGTCTAGTGTGCTTTGATTTCTAAGGTAGAGTAGTAAACGAAATCTATGCATGTATCAATCAGGTAGTTTCTTTCCTCTTGGTAGTAGCATGGCCATCGTGGCGATCGCCAAAGATATTTGCCGTCAGGCCCGCGAGTGCAATGACGCCAGACACCATGATGAAGTTGGCGAGCATGTTGCCCTTTTCCCACTCCTGTTCCACTTTGACTGTCCCCTGCATCTTTCTCCGTCGGCCCCATATGTGTTCCTGCACGTTTTCGTGCATCTCTCTATGCTGTTGGTCGTTAAAGTGCGGGACTGCGTTACCCTGGCTCTGCTGGCCAGGCCCAAAGCCACCGTACTCGCCGTAGCTTTCCTGGCCGGCTTCCTTGGCATTTGCCCCTTCTGAATGCGGGCTCGAATATGCGTATTCAGCTCTCTTTGCGCCATGTCTCCCGTAGCCCCCTGATTTGTAAAAGGATGGTGGAGGGCCTCGGAAGGTGCTGCGTTTCTTGTTTAGCCCGCTTGCTGGGCGGGACCCGAATGCGGCTGAGCTATAACTCCCTTGGGGAATATCGTTGCCACCCTTGCCCCAGCGCGATTGCCGCTGCGCAGACTCTAGCTGTGCATCGTATTGTGCACGCTTTTCAGGGACAGAAAGGACGTGGTATGCTTCGCTTATGGCGACAAAGCGTGTAGAGGCGTCGGGATCGTTACGGTTATGGTCTGGGTGGTTTTTCTTGGACAATGTGTAGAACTGGCGCTTGATCTCAGATGCAGAAGCGCTCGACGTCAAATGCAGCGTTTCATAGTGGTTTTTCAGCGTATCGGCACATCGTGGGGTCGAAGCATGGAAGTGAGAGACTTGTTGTATGCGCCGCGGAGGTGCAGGTACTGTGCGATGGAGACATGAGTGGCAGACGTATGGCGCATTGAAGGTCGCCGGCCGAGGAGTCGAGGATAAAGCGAATGGTCGCAGGAGAACAGATGGGCGGGGTGGCATTGCCCGAGAACAGCATGAAAAAAGGGTTACATTAAAAGTTGGTGGTTGAGTGAATGTCTGAAGTGCATAGAGAACGTCATCGCCCGTCACGAGGCTAGCACAGGGTCGGATTAGACTGCAGCGACTCCGAGCCATCGGGGCAACTTAGCGGGGGCGTTACAAGGCCCTCGTAAATTTCAAGATAACCCGCAACCCTAGCACCACTCCCCTCGTTGCACAGTCAACATGGCCGCAAAGGTAGCAGATGATGTCGCCAACCTGAAGTGTATGTTTTTGCCGGGATCATGTTTATACATCGCCACAACGACTAATAGCGTGCAGTGGACGACTCTCAGAGCAAGCCAGCCAACGGCGCGATGCCGAATAGCGACAAGCCCACAGCCGACGCAGAACACGAAGACTCGGACGACGACAACGAAGCCGAGGACGGTGCACCAGAGGCCGGTGAAGGAGCAGCAAAAAAGAAGAAGAAGAGAAAGCCTAGAAAGAAGAAGAAGGCTGGTGCTGCAGGTGCGGGCGGACCCAAGGTGCAGACGGCACCACCTCGAGTCCGTGTCGACGAGCTCTTCCCCAACGACTCATATCCAGAGGGTGAAATCCAGGAATACGTCAACGAGAACTCGTATCGAACCACCAACGAAGAGAAGCGCCACCTCGACCGCATGAACAATGGCTTCCTTGCCGAATACCGCAAGGGTGCAGAGATTCACCGTCAAGTACGACAATGGGCGCAGGGCTGGATCAAGCCTGGCATGTCGCTGACTGAAATTGCCGAGGGCATCGAAGACTCAGTCCGCGCTCTGGCAGGTCATCAAGGCCTTGAGGACGGAGATGCGTTGAAAGCGGGCATGGGCTTCCCCACTGGTCTCAGCATAAACCACTGTGCCGCCCACTACACACCAAACGCAGGCAATAAGATGGTCCTCAACTACGAGGATGTCATGAAGGTCGATTTCGGTGTCCATATCAATGGTCGTATCGTTGACAGTGCCTTCACTCTGACGTTTGATCCCGTCTACGATAACCTTATCAACGCGTGCAAGGCCGCTACAAATGCCGGTATCAAAGAGGCTGGTATCGATGTCCGCATGAGCGACATTGGTGCTGCTATCCAGGAAGTCATGGAGAGTTATGAGGTAGAAATCAAGGGCCAGATGCTGCCCGTAAAGTGTATTAGGAACCTGAACGGTCACTCCATTGGCCACTTTACCATTCACGGAGGAAAGACGGTACCCATCGTCAAGGGAGGCGACCAGACAAAGATGGAAGAAGGTGAAACTTTTGCCATTGAGACCTTTGGTAGCACAGGAAAGGGTTATGTCCGAGACGACGTAAGATTTCTCTTATCCTATATGCTAGCAGCTCGCTAACATTGCTTCCTTCTGTAGATGGAAACCTCGCATTATGCCAAGATCGCTGATGCACCCAAAGTCGCCCTTCGCGTCTCGTCAGCAAAGACGCTACTCAACTCCATCACCAAGAACTTCGGCACATTGCCTTTCTGCAGGAGATATCTTGATCGCCTGGGGCACGACAAGTATCTTTTGGGTTTGAACAATCTGGTTAGCGCAGGTATCGTAGAGGCGTATCCACCGCTGTGCGATATCAAGGGAAGTTATACCGCACAGAGCGAACACGTAAGTCCCGATACTGACACCTGTACACTTGGGTACGCAAGCTAATGTAGTGTAGACTTTTGTCCTAAGACCAACGTGCAAGGAGGTGCTGAGCCGTGGAGACGACTACTAGGCTATGCATCTTTACAAACAAAAACAAGACGTCTGAAGGGAAAACGGGCATATCAGGTTTTGAGACACAGCAAAGAGCTATGTTGGAAAGTCAGCACAAAGACGAAACACCATCACTAGGCATCGTTTTATTTTGTCTTCTCCAAAGAAAAAGGAAAAACAGCAGGTTCAGGATTCGTGTACATACTCGATTAAAAATAAAATGAAAATGAGAAAAACACTCTTGAATATTCGATATAGTGATCAATGTGTGTTAAAGGCGAGACGTCATGCTTGTACTTCTGCCTTTGCTGCAACTGATTTGGTGTGGCGAAATGTCGAGTTTGTAAAATATGCTCTATGTTCTGATCATCATGTAATTCCAAGTCCATGTGCAAAGTAGACGGGAACCAAAAATCTTATCCATCATTCAGTATATACGGAGCTGTTTGATTAAATCATCTCTATTTGATCTGATCAATTCTCTCAACACTCTGCTTCCATCATACTATCTCCTCCTCAGACGAAAAGTCTCCGGGCTAGACTCATCAACATACTGCGTCTCCCTAAGGAGCTCATAAAACTCCGTATGCAGCCTCCGCATCACCCTCGAACCGCCCATGCTCTGCATATCGGCAAGCATAACCTGCAGTATCGGCCTCACCACATGCCACAGATAAAACACACTCGCCTCCGGCGTCCGGCACCCACCCAACTGAGCCACGCCCCGCTTATGCAGCGTCCAACCCTCGTCCGTTTTTCCCTGGCACAAACTATACCCGCTCTCCCACATCCCAGGCAGTCTGATCTCGCCTCCCCTATACAAATCTTCAAACTGACTCCACATTCCCGTTGACGACCACATGTTAATCCACCAATGCGGCACCACAACGCACGCGTTTGAAAACGACGATGCTGCAGCGCCGAGATTGTGCGGTTTGTAGAATGTAGTGAAGAAGCCTGGGCGATCCAGAGTCCAGATGCTACCGCCGAAAACGTAGTGTTCCCAGGAATGACCGAATTCGGCGAGGCGGTCAGAGGCTTGGTGGAGAGGCTCTTTGGAGTCGATTTCAAGGGCCCTGGTTTATATCAGTATAAATTCTTTTTTTCTCTCTCATACTATTTCGAGGAGAAGAGGGCTTGGTGCTATATGCTTTGTTTGGGAAAGGAAGGAATTTGGGGGGAAAAAAAAACTTACCAAGGCATGACTTGCCTGCTGATACGATAATGCCAAACCACGTGCGTGAGTTCGTGGCAAAGAGTGATGGCCATTCGTAGATATACAGTTTTTAGTTCGTGAGCGGAGCCGCCGTGGCTCAAGAGGTACTTGAGACTGAACCAGTACTGGGAGTGCAGTAGGATGCGTGGCGTGTCGAAGAAGGGGTATACAGGCGCCATTACGAGGTCGTGGCGGAATTTGATATATGCTGCGTTGCTGCCAAATGCGCAGCCATCTGTGCGTGACGTATTTTTGTCGAGGTTTTCAAACATAAGTTCTAGTACGTGAGGCAGTTTTTTGATGAGGAGGACATGTAGTTCGTTGTTTGCATAGTTGCTGGTTTCGTAGGGTGTGCTTGCCAAGTAGCGTCTGCGGGTTTTGTCGAGTTTTACTTCGCCGAATAGAGTGTGCTTCCACCATTTTAGAATTACGGGCTCGCTCATAAATTTTGATGCGATTCGGAGGGCGGGAAGTAGCAGGGTGTAATCTTCTGGCCTGAGGTCTGGCCATCTGCTGCTCTGGAAAAGAGGGTGAATGTCATTGTCGAGATCCGTCTGTGGGAGACTGATGATCTTGCTTAGACGCAGTCGCCAGCCATATGGTATACTCCCTGAAGTGATTCTAGGGCTTTGAAGCCTTTGTAAGTATTCTAGATCAGCCCCTTGATCTGCATTCAAATTTCCCAGGCATGCGCCACGGGAAGGCATGGTTATGACAAGAGGAAGTCTCTCAGGAGAAGAACGGAGGGTTTCTTATTGTGGTGGGTTTGTTGTAGGAAGGCTCAAGGGAGGCTTGGGAAGTGTGGGAGTGGCTGCGTCTCATGTACTGGAGAAGATGACAAGGGAGAAATCCTCACGACTGGTCGTCAGTACGTCAATTTTATGAGGCACTGCCTCTATAATATAGAGCGGGCATTGTACAAATATGTCTTTTTTGTTGCGGTTTGTGATCCAGTTCCGTGGTTGTACATCAACTCCTCTCCACCTATTGGCCTTGCGCACTGCCCAACCATAGTTCGTCAAGCCTTCTTTTTCGATATACGATACCTGCTTATGTCAACTAAAGAACTTCCCTTGCCTCTCGTGGTGCTTACAAGAATAACTTCTCTCTCGAGTAAACCTCTTTGTCTGGGTCGTCGTCCACCTCCTGCACATCGAACATTTTCCGCGCCGTCTTCATAAAAGTCAGGTCTGCCCGTCTTCTTCGTTTGAAGCAAAAGTAGCACACGGTATTCTCGCCAATCAGATCCTTGAGTGTTTGCTGCAAGAGAGGAAAAGCCGGTTCAAAGTACACACAATCGGCTGCGAGGATGATGTCCGGATGAGATGGTAGCTGCGATGGCGTTGGTTCACCCCAGTCATACACTGATGCCTTTACACATGACTCCAGGCCATTGAGAGCGATATTGCGCTCCATGAGGTCAAACATGGGTATCTGATCGGTGATGTGTAGCGGCTTGTCCACGTTACAACCTATTGCGACGGCCAGTCCAACGAGCCCTCCTCCTGCACCGAGTTCGACGATTTCCTTTCCAGCGACGTCATCGCGGTGTTTCCGCAGCATGTACTTACTCAGTACCATGCCTGCGGGCCACAGCTGCCCACCACAGCCGTTCTTCAGATCTTCATGCAGGCTTAGTGGGGGTGATAACAGGCCGTCAAAATCGACTTTGGAGACCCCAGCAGATTTGATGGGCGCAGCAGGTACCAAGTCCTGGCTTACCGCGAAACCGTCGAGTTCAAGCATTTTTTTTGGAAGCCTGGGGGAAAAGTAATGTCCTAGCAACGGAGAGGTGAAGTTGCCTATCTTTGTGGAGGCTCAAAACAAATTAGTGCGTTGGTGCGGCCCGCAGTGGCGGGATATGCGGGGGCGTTCAAGGCCCGTTGTGGCCTCATGTATACCGTCGTGTCCCATCATTCCGGTCATTGGACCGTTCAGGGAATTGGACCTTATACATGCCGTTCTAGAATAGCGATGATGCACCTTGTCGCAAACCCCAGGGATGCAGCCATCCGTACTTAGCATCGGCTAGTAATACGCCTCCAGCCGGCTATCTGTACCCGTCACCATCGCATTGCTTATCTTATGAGCGCGGCTAAGATCTACCTTGCGCCTCGGCTCTACCAATTGAAGGTGCGTCCTAGCGAACAGCGTTGCACACGGAAAGCCACAATGCGAGGCATTTCTTGTGTGTGGAGTGGATACCAATAACACCATGCGCTCAACGAAAGTGGCTTGCTTGCACCTGTTCTATTTAAATTCATGCCTTCCGCCTTCCTCAAAGCCACATCGTCACGAAATTTCCACAAGGAACCTCCCTGATAGTTCGTGGGTAACGTCGTTCCCGAAACTAAAAGCCTACCATGGGTCTTCCAACAGAGGTCTTGCAGGCCTGGGATGCTTGCGACCGTACCGATACTCTTTTCGTACTGGTCTGCTCCGTCTTTTGTACGTTCGCATCTCACAATGGTAGATGGTATTTGCTGACTGAGCAAGGCTGGGGAATCATTCCGGCAGTAGGCATTGCCTACAGTGGTTACACTACGCGCTCTAACTCTCTTGCGGCAATTATGCCTGCAATTCTCTCCGTCATTGTCTGCTCAATACAGTGGTTTCTCATCGGATACACATTAACATATGGAGAAGGAGGTGCAGTATTTGGAGATTTCAAATATGCATTCCACAAAGGTGTTTTGGCAGAGCCAGTGGGAACTATACCCGCAGTCCTCTTCAGCTTCTTTCAACTCGTCTTCCAGGCTACGGTGTGCGCAATTGCCGTCGGGGGTGCCTGTGAGAGAGGCCGCATATTGCCACTCATACCTTTTATTTTCGTAAGATGAATAATCTTTGTGGAATTCTGTCAATATCCTGATTTGAGTAGTTGTGGTCAACATTCATATACAACCCCCTAGCACACATGGTCTGGGGCGGAGGCTTCCTCATGGATTTGGGCGTCCTGGACTTCGCCGGCGGAACACCTGTGCACATCAATTCCGGAGCAACAGCAACCGCCATGTCTGTTTATCTTTCTTATCCTCTGTTCCGCTCACGCAAGTCGTCTTCCCGAACACCGTCGCATCTGGTCATTCATCGTCCTGTCAACTCGCTCTGTCAGCTACTGGCTATGATTAGTATTTGGGGCTCATGGCTCGCTTTTGATGCTGGCACGACTCTTGAATTCAACTTCAAGTCAGTCATGGCACTTTGCGTTACAAACCTTTGTGCCGCTTCCGGTGCGCTAACGTGGATGCTGTACACGTACGTGGAAGTTGGGCGTTGGAGTTTGGATTCATGCTTTATGGGCGCCATCTCAGGGCTTATTATGATTACGCCCTCGGCTGGCTTTATAGATCTACCAACATCTTTCTTCTTCGGCATTCTAGGTGCACTAGTCTGCCGTCAGGCACTCCGAATCAAGTTTACCGACTTTGCTCGACGCTGGCGCTGGGTAGACCATGGCGACACTTTTGCAACGCACTGTATTGGCGGTGTTCTGGCTACCATATCGACCGGCTGCTTTGCTCGGAAAGAAGTTGCAGGCTACGACGGAGTGACGGAGATTGTTGGAGGCGTCTTCTTCGACGGAAATGCACGGCAGCTGGGTATCCAGATTGTGGAAGCTCTTGTTGGATTCACATGGTCGTTCATTGGAAGCTATGTCATTTATGCACTGATTGATTGCGTTCCTGGCTTCGAGGTGTTGGCCGAGGACAAGTGAGTAGTCTCACAAAGCAAGAGAATACACAGCTGACATAAACTAGGGACATCATCGCAGGCTTGGACGCAAGCCAGTTAGACGAAGAAACGCTATGGACGGAGACGCAGAAGTACTACCCTTATGCTGAACTCGAGGGTGAGCTGCACCTCGATTGATAAAGCAGGGGAGTTTTCAAGTTGATAATATGTGATATGAATGGTGGAAAAGAGAAGAGAACATACTATGTCAATGAAACTAGACGAGAGTAGCCGAGATCTCCAAGTGCCGAAGTTAGATTCCCATGTTCATTGCTGGGTATCGCAGACACTAGGTTTGACCCAAGGTAGGGGAAACGAGAGATAAGAATATTATAAGAATACGAGGACACGTGCGCGTCCCAACTACTCGGTCCCAACTCCCCAGCAAATCCACCGTCGGAATTAGATCAACAAGAAGACAGGCATCGTCTTGCTGAATTGACAAGGTTCAATATTCCACTCCGTATATACATGCCTACCTTTCTATCCCACCAAACCTTCAAGTCAAACACCCCAACACCAGCGTGTAAGGACAGGGACAACCCTCAATAAGCCCAAGGAACCCTCCACCCCTCCAAAATGAAAATGAAAAAAAAACAATAAAACCCACATCACCCCTCCAACGCCCTCAGCCCCTCAACCAAAACCCCAAAACTCTTCACCCTCTGATGCCCCTTCCCCTTCTCCTCTCCACCCCCCACATTCCCTTGCCTCTCTCCCCCCACCTCCCCAAACCCCTCCTCCAACTGCCTCTCCACCAACTCGCGATCCAACACCCTCCTCGCCTCCTCCAGCCCCCCAATATCCCTCGCATTCGTAAACCCCATGTCCCTCAGCGTCTGCAGCGCGAGATTAGAGCGGCGCCCGCTGCGGCAGTAGAGCGTGATACGGTCGTCTTTTGCGACTTTGATCCCGCGCTCGGCGTAGACTGCGGGCAGCGTGGAAATGAGTTGGTATTCGATGTTGATGGTGGGGGAGAGGTCCGAAGTTAGGTGGCCCGTGGAGAATTCGGATGGGGTGCGGACGTCGATGAGGAGGTGGTTGTTGTTGTTGGGGGGGGCCATGTTTTTCTTTCCCCTTGGGGTTCCTTCTCTTTGTATGTGGTGTTTTTTCTTCTTCTTCTAATCTTTGAGCGTGGGTGTATGTTTGGGGATGGAGAATTTAATGTAAATATATAAATATAAGTGTGTGTAGATGCTTGTTTTGGAGAGAGAGAGAGAGAGAGAGAGAAAGATGATTGTTCGTTTGTGCTTCTCTTAAACAGGTGACTGCATGCTCGTCATCGGCGCGGGGAATTCGCGGAACCCCGAGAAGAGAGGGACTTCGCCGTACTCGGAGGGCGCTAGCTTTGTAGCCAGCATGTACAAGCACCACCACGTCTTTGTGCCTCGTCGTGCTCTACAAAGACCTTCGTTTCAAAAGATAAGCGCTAAGAGGTTGCAGGTGTAGATTGCAGTGTTCAGGACTCGTATGCATTGTTTTGGATGGACCGTCGTGAGTGCAAAGATCCCGAATGATTTTGTACTCGGCGACTATCTAACAGCCAAGGTATGCTTAGCAGTACTGACACATGCGTGTGTATCTCCTCGGTCTTTTCGTATTAACTTCAAAGCCCTTGCCACCACGTGCGCACCAATCACTTTTCAAAACAAGACTTTCTTTGATGATTTCTTTCATTTGCAAAAGTGCCGACCAGATTGACTTCTGAGGCCAGACACCACAGCTATAGGAAAACCCCTTTTCTCTTCCTGCATCTCCTGTTGTGATGCTTTTCCCCTACCATCACACTGATAGGCCGTTTGCTACGATAGCGGAATCTTCTCTCTTTTCAACGCCGAAAACCCAAGTTATTACAGGCTTTTCCAAGTCCAAATGGTTATGCAAAATGTAAGAAATATTGAGCAGATGATTGTAGTCTGCCACCAAAAAAAGACAATTGCCACCCAAAAAGAAAATCGCTGAAGTGGTATAAAACAGACAAAAGAAACTACGGCATTGGTATCGTGAGTGCCCGAGGCATGACGGACGAGAATAAAAGAAACAAAAACGCAAAAAAAAACAAGAAGATTAACGTATGTGAATCAAAAGTGCCAGCCGGTATACATGTGAGTACCGAACCAATCTGGGGGAGGAGACCAGAGAGTAAGGCTCACAAAAGAAAACACGCGATGAAGCGAAGTAAACAAGTCTAGGAACCTTTGAGGTTCGATGTTGAGAAGTTGAAGTTGAGGAACTCGAATTTGTCCTTCGAGGTGGTTCGGCTTTCAGTTGAAAAGATGCTCTGGGCACTGTTGTCAATGGATGGCGAACCCCTTGTGGAATGCGGTGTGTCGCGCGGTTCGAGAAGTAATGAACGACGGTAGTAGTTTTGAACGTTGGCTTGGTCGCTCGCACGCATCCGTTGTATCTGGCTATCCATCCAGTCTTGCATTTCTGGGACGGCGGCTAGCCGATAGGGAACTTGGAACGACTGCAGTTGGGAGATGATCTTCGCAGTCTTCATGTGCTTGTCGAAATTGATAACAGAAACGCTATCAGACCCAGGGTCACCAGGGAGCTGTCGCGTAGTACCGTTACCGACATCGATGAATGTGAGATCTGTGAGGTAGATGCCGACGAAAGGAATACATGGTGCCATGTGATCTTGAAGACGCTGTCGCAGTACCGCGTAGTTACGTCCAACATCGGTGATTGCTTTCAACTCGTTCAAGCGAGCCTTGGTCTTCGTTGACACAAGGTCCCACGTCCGCTTGAGACGCATGATCATGGAAGAGTTGAGGGAGCAGATGATGGCCATGAGCGAGTCATAGTTGTGCAGCTCCAAGCACTTGGCTGCAATCTTAACCCACTGCTTGATGATGACTGCTCGCTTCTTGGCATCTTCAAGTTGCAGAATGGTATCGGCAACCAGGTTTGCCAGGTCGGTCGAAAGAGTTGACATTGCCTTGACGTTGTGTGCCTTGGAATCCTTCTTCTTGGTCCATTCGAGAGCAAGAAGCTCTTCTGGTTGAATGGCGCAAAAGAGCTTCGATTCAATAATGGTAAACTGTCTGGCAAGCTCCAAAGGATCAAAATCCATGATGCTGCATTGTGCTTTTCCTTCTTTGCTGGCCCGGAGAGCATTGAGTTGGCTCTTGCTAACGAGCGGCGTTGGAACGTTGCTGTCGGCGGGTGTAAATGTGGCATTCGAGGCACTAGTCTTACCAATCGACGACACCAAGCGAGGTACAAGGGCTCCGGCCCTCACTTCGGTTACTTTGGATGTCAATTCCGCTAGTCGTTTGCCGGCACCAGGTATAGCAGTTCGGAGTTTTCCATTCGCAAATGCCAAGATGACGTCCAGGGCGGCACAATCGGTGTCGCTTGACCAGTGGCTTTCAAGCCAGCCCTTGAAAACATTGTAAACTCGAAGACGGACCGGTACACCCACAGTTTGACTATTGCCAATATAGTCGAAACGGTCAATCAGGCATTGTGCAAGTTCAGTCGGTGTGGTGAAAAGGCGGAAGGTGAGATAGAAGGCATTGACAAAGACAATGTCTGGTGTGGACTCGTACGTCGTCAGCTGCTCTACCAGGGCTGGGAGCGAACCGCCTGAGATCTGGCCATCCTTGTTGTAAACTAGCTCGTGCACGTACGATGTCTCCAACAGGTGCTCCTCGCCAGCAGCAGCATCCTCGTTGGCCAGCTGCTGAAGCTCAGAGCAACTGCCAACGCTGCTGACCAAGGTTTGACAGCTTTGTTTCTTGGAAGGCGAGTGGTCTGGCGTAGTAGCACGGGTCGAGACAAGAGACTCGGCACTCACGGAGCCGCCTCGTGCACTGGAGTGATAGGTACTGGCGCTGTCGGTGACAGATGCGATGACGCTTTCAGCATTCAAAGAGCCAGGGAGGCTTTCTTGAGTAGCGCTTGCAGGACTCTCAGCCGACTCAGACAATGTGGATGGATTCAGTACCGGGGTGGGCACAGCGTCGAGAGGCGGCAGAGATGCACGGGACGATCTGAAGGATACGGCAGTTGGGCTTTCGACAATGACTGGCTGAAGAGTTGGTTGCAGGCTGATCCTTTGTTTTTCAATGGGCGAAGGGAGTGGCACTTCAGGCAAAGGCTTCGATTCAGAGACAACAGGTGGGAGAGGCTTCTCAAGCTTCTCAGGCTCCTCAGGCTCCTCGGTTGGCGGTGCTGGCAGTGGCTTGTTGGTCTCCATGACAGTTTCGTTGGGCTTGGGTGAGGCAGGCCTCTCAACTGTTGGTTGCTGTTGCTCACTGGGGCTGGGTTCCTGGAATATCGATTTCTCTAGTCCCAAACCAGCAGCCTCAGTTTCAAACTCAAAATCACCAATCCTCTCAATCACAACCCTAGCCTTGGTGACACAGTCACCAGCGGCCCGTACGCAGCTTGTGGCAGCCTTGACAATCTGCTTTCCAGCATCTGGCGCCACGACTTCTTCGCCCTCTGCATCTGCCTGGATAAACATGTCCTTGGTAGCTTGCACAAGTTCGGTCAGACGGGCGTACATGGCGTCTCGTGCTTCTTCGAGCGGGTTAGACCTTCGCGAGTCGCGTTCCCATACTTCCTCAACAACTGTGAGGAGTTGTTTACAAGCAACGACGGAGTTTTTGGTGGTCTGGGCTAGCTCGTCCGAAGAGCGCGATTGCAGGTGCAAGCCGATAAAAGAGCCAATAAAGCCCAAAAAAGCGTCATGAGCAGTGTTGAGTTTCTCGGAAGCAAGCTTTCCCCTGTGCGCATTGAATGACTTGCGCGTGTACGACAAGCGGTGTGTCATAGAGGTGCGTTTCGACTGAAATCCGGATTGAGAATGTAGTATTGATGATTGAACAGAATCTGCTTCAGAGGGTAGGGAAAAGGCAACGGACAGGCGGCTGAGGTTTCGCGATGATTGGGTGGATCCAGTATACCAGTCGTCCTGTGTCGATCCACTGGCTTGTGTGACTGGGGAATCGCAAGTATTCGCCGAGGCACTATCGTCGGTCGATGGGGCCGATGTTGTAATTGGTTCCACTGCAGCGTCCGAAGGCGGGGTGAGTGGTCGGTTGTCCACATCATCTAGCTCAAACAGTGACAGAGAGACGGCATCTGTTGTCCAGATGTCAAGAAAACGAACTGCCCTGGTGACGAGCTTGAACGATTTGAACACAAGCTCATCCATGTGCTCAAATACGGGGAGAGGTAGCTCGTTTGATTGCAAAGCCTCCTGGAAGGACTTTGCTGTCTTTACGAGGGTAGAGAGATCGCCCAACAGGGCTTTGCGCATACGACGCAAACCTACATGGGCCAGAACAAGCCGCGAGTCTTTCTGTAGACACTCAGTCCTTTCCTGATAAGAATTAGCAGGAGGTTCAAAGATGAAAAATGCGGATGCACTGAATGAACCGGACTTACAAGGAAAAGTCGTACGCCGACGATCATGCCTCGGACGTAGTCTTGTCTCGAAAAGGCGACCAGATCGCCATTCTCTCCGTCGCGGACAAGATCCCAGATGTATGTGAGAGCAGTCAGCAGATTTCGAATAATGGGATGGTCATAAGGTTCGCAGTAGTTGGTCGGGAGCCATCCACGGGCGCCTGAGGCCAACAACGTGCCATCGGCCCATCCATTTGGATGAACGGAATGGACGAGGATGACATCGCCCTGGTTAATGGCTACGGTGATGGAAGACTCGTCCGTCGACGATGATGAAACGGTCGAGGTTGGGTTGTAGTGATAAAAGGCGCGAAGATAGTTGTGAAATTGGGGTTGTTGTAGTTGTTGTTGTTGTTGTTGTTGTTGTTGTTGCTGTGATTGGTGTGGGGCCATGGCCTCGGTCGAACACTTTGGGGTCAATGGAGGCGACATGTGTTTTTGCGAGTGGCTTCCAAGAGTGCCCCTTGAGGATGACTGTCGACTATGGCCGCGGATGGCGGTACGAGAGCGTGACCTGCTAGGTGACTTGTGAATGTTCAAGGGTGCAACAAGTGCACTGGATCGCTTGTCCATGTTTTCTTGTTGGTGGTTGGGGGACGCCATGTCGAAAGCGAGGCGAAATAGTCCTAGGAAAGGTCGCTAACTAGGCGCTGTACGTGCATACATGTGTAGCTAGCATTTGGTAGACGGGCCTGGTGTATGTAAAACGAGAGGTGTGGAACGTTGGCAGTGTACTTGTTGTTGACTGGTTAATACAATGTTGGATAGAAGCAGGAGTGAGAGACGACGACAATGGTGTGAGGAGAGCCCAAGCAGGCAAGTGGAGCAGGAGATGGGGGGTGGGGGAGGGGGGGGGAGTTAGGCAAACGGAAAGTGACATACCCGATGTGACAGCAACTAGCGCGCTGTGAATGTAAAGAGGGTGAGGATGAAGCAGAGCGTGACAGATGTTGCAGTGAATGGAAATGGGTGGGCGAATGGGCCAGTGGTGTTGATGTTTGCCGGGAAAATGGCAATAGTGAATTAGGCGGGCGGGTAGAAAGCTGGGACGGGGTGTGTTTCCGGGAGACAGAAGGTGGCACAGGGCAATTGTGGGTGAAAGGGTGGAAGGAGCGAGTAGAAGAAGCTCAGACGCGGTCTGTCTCTCGTCGAGGCGTGCAGGCGTGCAGGCGTGCAGGCGTTTGAGAGGGGGGGGTGTGTGTGGTTGCGGTTGCTGTGGAGGGGCAGGAGCCAGTGCTTGAAGAGAGGGTGTAGGGCTCTATCTTGTAATGGCGATTGCGGCGCGGAGCAGGAAAGAAGCAGAGGATTAGGATTGCAAGGGTCGGCCTGACTGTCGAGGTTGTTTGCAGGGGGAGGGCTGGGGCGGCGGCGGCTCCTTCCAACGGTTCGTTTGCGAGGCAGGCGCACTGCAGGCCAGGGAAGGAGCGACTGGAAAAGAAAGCAAGGGCACGGGCGGAGGGAGCTGTGCAGGCAGGAGCAGCCGGCTGAGGGGGCAATTGGCACGACGGGCAGGGAGAGGCTGAGGCTGCAGAGACGGAGGGTCGTCGAGGCTGGACAGACTGGCTGGGCGTGTGTTATTATCACATCACGATGGAATCCTTGGGCCAGGCTGGTGCTGCTGTGCAAAAAGATTCATGAATAGCAGGACAGGGGTGGACTGTCAGTGGTGCAGGGGTGCAAGGCCAGGGTCAAGGAGCGTTGGCGGGCGGCGGCGTTGCTCCCCATGCCCTGTGAGTGCACGGCGTGAAGCTGATTCGCGGCGCGGCGGCCGTGCAGTGCTAGGGGAGCAGCCCGTGGGTTGTCCCCGGCATTTCTCCCTGCCACTGGCGCTGGTGCAGCTGTGCTTTGGCCGTCGACGTTGGGGGACACTGCTCTCTGCGACTACTATGCATCCACACACACACATACATACACACATACCCATTCACCCAGCCGACGACACCCCCCCCGGGCCGGGATAGCGATAACATGCACATACACTTGTCCATCCATCCATCCATCCATCCACCCACCCACCCATTACCACCACCACCACATCCATATCTGCTCCCACGACTGACTCCCACGCCCACGCCCGCGCCTGCGCCCACGTCCGCCTTCACCACGACCCGCGGCGGCAATGACAGGCTTGGGCTGCGCGGCGTACAATAGCGCAAGAGGCCCAAATCCACTGCTGCCGCCCGCTAGCATCGCTGGTGGCCGTCGTGTGAGCCAAATCTCCGCCAGCAACGGTACTACGCGTCTGGCGTCGCCTCCGCCCTCGTCCCCCCCGTGCGTGGTGCGGTACGGTGCTGTGACGTGCCCGTCGCACGCCCAGCCCTCGACGTGCAAGGCGCACACGCACACGCACACGCTCACGCACAATCGGGTGCGGTGCAGTGGCTTGCATCAAGCCCCGCTTAGCCCAGGGCACCTGTGCAGACGCGACCGAGGGCCTGCAGCAACAGGCCTGCCCAAAGCCCCACTGCGAATCCACCTCCCCCAGTCGCAGACTCGAGGGCCTGGAATTGGCAGCATGAGCCTGCACCTACAGCCCACAGCTAAGATCATCCCGCGCCGAATGCGTCCCTCTATGCCCGAGAGGGCAATTTCCGGCGGCCCACGCTCCCCGGTTGCCACGGCCGTTGCTCCATCCCACCATCCACCATCCACGTTCATCTCGACCACATGGCTGTCCTGTACATTCGCAGTAGTACGCCCTCTAGTATAGCACTGCTGCTGCATCCTGCTGCTGCTACCGCTGCCGTCGTCGATTCCCCGGCCGGCCCGATGGCACGCGAGCACACCAACTGACGGCATGGCGTCTGCACCGTGTGCCTTGCTACTGCTGCAACTGCTGCAACTGCTGTAACTGCGGCTGCTAGAGCCCTGCTACTGCAGTGCTACCATCCTCTTACTGCTCTTGGTCTTGCTTCCAAACTGCCACACGATATATAATGCCGTCCGCGCACACGTCATGCTCGACCCGGCACCCGATGCTCCAGACCCCGGCACCCCACTAGCATCAATGCGTCCTCTCGCAGTACTTGGAGCAATCTAGTACCGTGACGACGCTGGCCATCCTGCAGTCCACGACGCCCATTGGACTGTATTTCCCTGTGTTACTACGCTTCATGGTGGCTTTCAAAACTATCCTGCCAAGAACCACCCCATTTTGCTGTCGTATCCATACCATACTAACGGGCCCAACAACTAAGCTTTCACATGCTTCAGCTCTGTTACATAATGCCCATGATCACTGCACTGTTCAATCCGCTCAACAACATACTGGCAATAACGTTAAGTTTGCAACACCCACAGTATATAGCACAATCGCGTCGTCATCCATAAAGCTTCCGACGGCCGGACGTGTGAGGTTGGACCTAAACTCGCACTACTATACATATGTACCATAGGCTGCGTTTGCAAATAACCCGCGACATGGCCGACCAAGAAAAAATATTGACAGCCCTCTTGGCATCATCATGACGACGCTATGTTCCTAGCGTCCATCTGCGAGTAGAAATCTGCATTTGACGGACTCGTCTCCGTTCGTATATCGCCAGATGCCTCTCTGTCTTGCTCTCCCCTTCCTCCTCCCCCCCACAGCCCGTGGGGAATCTACCCGCAACCCGACTTGCTTTTACGAGCTGCAAACTTGATCAACAGTGCATGCTAGCGCTATTTCGCCATGCAGGTACTTCCAGCTATGTGCACACCAGCCTCATTCTATACTTCGCCATCGTAATCCGTATCTGACCTATACAACGTACGGCACTAGCCAATCGCTCAACAATTGCCCCACTACCCTACCTGGCAGCCAATATGCCATTCAGCGCCATGGCTTTGGATCGGCAGATATGCAGCAGGATGTCTTTACACACTCCACCCGCCTGGGTAAAATAAATGACATTTAGTGTCACTTGATGTGTCTTTCCAAAACCACAGCCCAGATGCCTCATTGGCCGACTGGCGCTTTTTGACACTGGTAGCGTATGACAGTCAGGCATAGACTTCGAGTGGCATGCTGGCGATCTTGACACCCGACATAGCCCGGTTGATGATCAGGAACCAAAGTAGTATCGTATCGTAGTACGCCACAAAAGAGGCCCAGTTTCCGTGTAAACAAAGATCGTCGTCGAAGCGCGCTGATCTCCTCCCTCTGTGGATATGGGGGGGGCTAGTGCAAGTGCCCCTATCTCTCTGAAGCGCCTTGATCGGCCTACTTTTGAGACGCATGGCACCCGGTGGCAACCCACTCCCGCTCATCGTTTAACAGCAATGACATTTCGCCATCATAAGTCTCTTTCAATGAGCCAATAACCAGCCAATTTGACCTCCTGTTGCGAACTCATCGTGCGGGTATCTCATTGACCAAAGCTAGTGACCCGTAGCGCGACTGCTATGAAAGCTACCAGCCGCGGGCACGCATTAGCTGCCGGCACTCGCATCGCCGACTTCATTGCCGATGGCTGCACAATTCGTGTGAGCCAAGTGGTCGCTCTAGATTTATCGCCATATTCTACTTACTTACTGCCACCCGCCAATCAAATTAACGCATGTTGAAGTTTTTCATGCTTGGCCCAGGGTTTTTACGAGGCGAACCCGACATGCTAAAGCCCATACTCTTCGTCGGCCAACTTGCATTTCGGTAGGACCTCGATCTCCGTCGTATGGCTGTGCCACATCTTGTGTGCATGCAAGGCCGACGACGACCCGAGGGCGCGGGCCGGATTGTGGGTCTTCCAATGAACGGATCCTACTCTACTCCGACGCAATATTACCGAGGCTTGGGCACTGATATCTCCCTGCCCCATGGTGACAGAGCGTCATGTGAACGACTTTGAATGCATGTTTGCGGCACAGAAAGGGCGGCACAGTCAGATATCTTTTCTCCGAGTAGTGCTCCATGTGCCGCAGCATATGCGGCTTCCCAGCTCTTATGCGCTCAGTTGCAAGACGAGGCGTTCATCCCCACATTAGTACTGGTTGTAGAGTTTTCCTGTTACAGTCATGAACAGTCATCTGTCATTGCGCTCCATACTTCACTGACGCCCGTCTCCAAGACCAAAAAAAACTTTATAGGCAATACAGACCCCAGCAGCAACAAAACAATACTCCATATATGTATACGGCAAGAATCTCGGGTTTGAGATATATGTGCTGTCCTCGCTGAGGTATTAAGTGGTAATCAAAGCCAAGGTGCTATTTTCGCAACGTTTCACTCGCTCAACAGGCGACTAGTTCAAGGGACCAGGCCAATTCCGATTCTTTGCCGCGCTCCATGGGATCGTCCTAAGCGACTCTCAAGACGCTACCTATATTACGTATGTGCTTAGCATTCAACCTCCTCTCGCATCACTAACGCTCCGTCCTGCATCTCATCGAGCCTCCCGGCTTCCGCGTGCCGCCTTTCTTCCCTGCGACAACGATGGCGTTAAAGTCGATCTTCAGTTGCAGTGCCCGCCTCTATACCAGCCCTGCTGAACATGGCTGATCTCTACTCCACATCTCGGAAGAGCACCCGGCTCTGTCTACTTGAAACTATCTTGCCAAATGATACGAGAGTCATTGCTCTTCACCATGGATTCAGTGCAGTTACGAGAGACAGGATTTTTCTCTCTCTTTACGTTGCAGATGTCACGCTTTCGCATGATGACAAATTTCATGCTACAATGTGCCTTTGCTGCGGCGTAGTTGCCAAAGCCCCCCAGCCCTTTCATTGCGCATCTGGACACTTGCAAAGTGGAACTCGCATCATGGATCCACAATCGTATCGGCTATCGACTCAATACAAAGGATATAAGTACAATAGTAACTGACTATAAACGCCACAATCCAACAGAAGGCAATACGAAAACTTTGACACATGTCGTGTCACCATGTACCTGCATATACGCATACATAGGTGCTGACAAGAGTCATTTGTAAAATAACATCCTGTATTTTCGATTCGGCCAATATGCAACTTCCGGTCTTTGATGCCCCACCTCAAACAGACAAGAAGCTTGTACGATTCTGCCCATAATTCAGCAAGTGCAACAACAACAACAACAACAACAACAATATCAATCATCATGAAAACAAGTCTTGTCTACAAGTCTTTTTTGGAGTGGCGACTCAGAGTTGTGTGTACGTACTCATGGCTCTGATGATTCCCTGCTTCCCATGTCATCCGTTTACCAAGTCCACGTTTCACCATTCCCAATTGAGCCGGTAATAAGGATGCCCTCCGTCTCTCCGCCATTCGCGGAAAATCATTATCGCTGCCAACACCTTTCGAGTAGACGACGAAGCAACCTCGAATTTCGGGGCCTACCCACATGTTCGAACGCGGCACATGTAGCTGGTATCAGATCATTCTCAAGGCGTATGGGATTTGTCTCACATTCTTCCTTTTCCTGGACGAAACCTGCTCAAAATGGCAAGATAGCTAAACAACGTCGATGGCTGCTATTGCCACCCTGGTAGGTTATTGCAGATGGAAAAAGTGCAAGAGCATGGGATGGGGAAGCTAAATCCTGATCTGCGGTGGGGATTGCACTTTTGGTGTTGAAGCATTTCCTTTAGTTGAGCCGCTTGGGAGGAGAAAGAAAGAGCACACTTCACCGCACGGTATCATGGTAATTGGTTGCGACAAAAGCAAACAGGTGATCTGCTGGGTAAACGGTCAAGGATTGATTTTTCTGGACGAAGTTGCATGCATATCCTTTTGTCTTTCGGAGCTTGGCCATGCGCAGCGATCTGCTTTTGGAAAGAAGCAATACGTCGCAATGCCGGGCCGATATGCAAGAACCGCTGAAAAGGTACGTTCGACTCCACAGCATCACCTGAACGATTGACTTTGTTTTGTCCAGATCTCTCGATTCTTCGTCGCGCCCTGCCCAACGCGATGTAACTTTGATTGCACTATCGGTCGAGTTTCAGAAATGCAGTACAAAAGCAATCTCGAGTCCATCCGGCCCCACCATAGCACACTGCATTCCAAAGTTTAAGTGTTTTGTATCAGTCCTCCAAGTCGATTACAAAAAGTCGGTATGTAAAGGGTAATGGATCATTTCCGTAGTATTGCTCCTCCGCGGGCTTGGAATTAAGAATACAGGGACAAGAAACTCATGACAATTTTCTTCACTGCCGTTGTCGTCATAGCAGTTGTCCTCATACACGGACTGCAGCAGTTGTCTTAGACATGCCAGGACCTTCCCTGTTTGTCAGAGTAGAGCTGTAACAACTCGATTACTGGTTAAGGAACCGCAACTACTTGCCGAATTAGCTACTGTACCTACCCTCTTTAGACCAGCTCGCAATATCACCAATCAGCTCCCATGACAAAGGCACCATGGTACCTCGCCGACTTCCACACCACGACCCGCAGTGATCTTCCACATAACATACTACAACCTTGATAACTATGCTCCCACGCCGAGTCACGACTTTTGTTTGTATCCCGCGCGTGTGTACTACTTATATACAACTCAACTGCCGTACAATGGCTCTTTTTCTAGGGTATCCCAGTCGTCTGTTCCATCCTTGACTCGAGACACACAGCTGTCCTCGCCATGGCAGCTTCTCGTTTTCAAACCCCAAATACCAATACACAGCCAGTACAGCATCACAGTGCGTTTGCGTTTGCGACCTAACGATTATGTCGCTTGCATCTTGAACTAGGTACCTATATCCCCCCTCACTATATCCGAATCTTCAGCCTCATCGCTTAGGAAGGACAATGCCGCTGTCTTACCTATCTCGACTCACAATCCCGGCTTCCGCAAGCCCACACGACTCACTTGCCTTCCTGTCGTCATACGCAACGGGAAAGATACATATGCATTTGTCACAGAAGATTCAGCGTCCCACATTGCGAATCTTCTCCATGACTTCACTACACCGACATAGTAGCTTCGCGTTCCTCATCCCCGGCACATGAATACTACAAGAGGCAACAAAACCGTAGTAAAAATGCAAACATGCCATGGACCAATGAAAAATCTTCCCGAATATAAAATAAAATCAAGGCTGCTTTCCGATGCAAGCATATGATTTTTCAATCTCTCCCTTGGATCTTCCTGTCCACGTTCGTGCACCCAACTCGCAGCCGGGAACACCGGGCATGACTGCCACCCAACCAGAGAGAGCGGAATAGCGGGAGTGAGACGGAAAGAGAACGAGCACCCTCGCCCGTTGCGAGTTACCGGACTCTTGCTACCGGTGGCCCCAACAAAGTTACCGTGTTGGATGCTTATCCAAACCTTGATCATCGACATCAGACCATGGACCATGGGCTTAGCCACGCGTCAGACGGGATCGCTGATGGGGCTGCCGCTGTTTGCACAGTGGTCAAGGGTTTGTACATGGTGGCGAGTCAGTCGGCTTTTGACCTGACAAGGGATATGCTTGCGGAGTTTGGGTTACTTGCCTTGCTGGAAGCCGACCGTACGATATATCGATAAGGGTGGATTATGGTGTTGGTTTGCTACCGCGTATGGCTAGCAAGTAGGTAAGTGAGTGATAGAGCGCGTGGGCAGGTTCTTGAGGGACCTGGTGACATGATAGTAGGTGTGTATCTACGATATTCAACCACTACTATCATGACTACTACTCGCACCAACATACAAGCATACCTACTTTATTTTCCCACCCTGTATACCTATTTTGTACAAACCTTCCCTGGTTCTTCTATCGTCCACGTCCATCATCACATCCCCCCCCCACCTCCTGCTTCTCTCCTCAACGTGCGCGGCAGGATCAATCACAAACTCACCGAAATATCACCGATGGCGTCCCATTCACCCACTTGGTATTGTTTTCGCTCCTTGGTTCTCACTCTCTACATTGATTATCGGCTGGAAACTTCTTGGGATCGGCAGGCCTCCTTGTCCTTGTCCGTATCCACATCCACATCCACGTGGATTTCTTCGCCCACTGGTCTCCCGCGCCTCGCCTCGCGTCCCCTAACCCCCCGAGCACTTTTGCTTTGGCCTCGTTACGACTCAACCGCCTTTAGCCCTGCAACGCAGCTATAGGCAATACCACATATGAACTTTAATTCTTGCGCACACATGGTTCGAGAATCTTGCCGCGCCGGGCATGTACATGTCTGTGTATACAGACACACACACACATATATATATATATATATGTGTAGGTGCGTAAAGTTTGCCATGTCATTGCTTGGCCTGTACTTGAGCGATTGTGCCTTTATTCCTCGCTTTCCGTTACAATTCGAGACTGCAGTACACGCACACATACACGCACACACTTTCTCTCTATTCTCACTAAGAAGAAAAAGGAATAGAGTATGGCTGTTCATGTTCTCAGCGCGGGAAGGTACGTAAAACAATGTTTGCACTATCGCCTCCACATCCGCCACTGCAACGCCAAACTCGTGGAGACAAAGTCTATATCATGCTGTTTTCTTCTTACCTCTTTCATTTTGGATAGGATGGCAGACTCAGCAATGCTGTGATGAAAAATAGTTGATGCTTGATCTATCTGTCCAGCTAGAATCGATTCCGTCATCACTTCAGCCATCATTCTCATCGTTACCGTCATCGATGCCCCTTGTATCGCCTATCCAGCTGACCACCGGCTACACACCCGCGAACCCAAAGCGACCATTAACGTATTACTATTTTGCAGCACACTTCCGCATCGTATCAGGCATAGGTGTTGACAAGAAAGTTCACGAGAGACATAAACATGCAAAACAAACTTCATCCGCTCTGTCAGCAAGTCCGTCTGACTGTCTATATCATATGAAGATATAATTTGAAACAGGATATAGTGGTATTGTAAGCTTATGTGCATGGCGGAAAAGCTCCCTCCTCAAAGGGTTGAAGAAGACCAAAGTTAATAAAGTTAAATAGATTGTTAATATCTCTTCCTGTTCGAGGCGAGATGTGATTGCCATAGACTCGATATTACCAACTATTTATTTTTGGACAAATCTGGGGAAGCGAAATGTTAACGACTCACACCTCGTGAATGAATTGACTTTCAATAGTCTCACTCGCAAAAAAAGAAAAGAAAAACAGAATGGAAAAAAGCAGTAAAATCCCACTATTTTGGCCTTTTATACGAACATTCCGTCGTACATGCGCGGCACCTCTCGTGTCGCGCTTCTTGGCAACCTAACAACTCAGTTCAACCTAACATGCTACGTATCTCCCACGCATCCCCCCCAACTCAATTCTCCAAGACCCTTCCCCCTAAAAAAATCTAGACACAGAAAAACCCGCCACCAATCACTCCACCGATTTCAGAAATCCAAGCCTACTAACACGGAGACCAGAACCCCCCCGTCCTTTCGGCTCTCAAATACCGTAACTAGCGCTTACAAGACCAGCAGATTGCATGCGCGCGTGTGTTTGTGTGTGCGTGTGTGTCTCCAACATACGCTCGTCCTTCCTTCCCTGAATCTCCCCCCCCCCATCCCCCCATCATCCCTTCTCTTTCAAAAGATGACGCGAACAACAAGGGAAGCACAACCGAACAAAAAGAAACGCTGATCCGTCATGGGGGGAGGGGGGCCCCCGAAACTGGGCGTATCCTTGTCGTTTTGTCGTGAGCAATTGGTGAAGTTGGGTGACTACTTCGGAGTAAGTCAAAAGTCAAGTCAAGTAAAGTAGTTTGACAGGGGCGAGGGGGAGTTTTGCGCACATCACATCACATCACATTACGGGCGAAAAAGCAATGATTTGACACTTTGGCGTTTGGACTGGGGATGGTACAAGTAGTAAGTACGCTGTGTGTCTTAACGCTCTTGCTACTCTGCTCTGCTCTGCTTTGCTCTGCTCCGCTCGCTCGCGTCAACGCTGCAGCTCCGTTGTCCGGTGCGTGGTCCGTCCGAATGATGGGGAGGTAGGGGTAAGGGTGTAGGGGTGTAGGGGGTAGGGGGGGGGGAACGCTGGCTGGCCCTTTGGGGGGGACCTTCTAGAGACTGAGCACGCACCGAAGACCCACTTTTACGCCAACTTGGCTGCGGTTCGGCGATATTCAACTTGCATGAGTCGCAGGATATTGCGAGCTTTGTCTTGTCTGAGAGTATCAGGGTCCCTTAATTGGAGGGACAGAGAGGACATGCCATGTGGAGAATCGGGTGTGCGTTTTCCAGCCGTTTTGGCGATGGGCCTCGCTCGGTCAGTGGTGTGCCCGCGTCGTTGTGTGGGTCGCGTCAACGAACATGCTGGTGGGTGCCCGCTACTGGGGGGCATTGACGTGCTGCGTGTCAGACGCGGGTCCCTTGGTGGGATGATGGATAATTACATTTTGCTTGTGAGGGGTCCGTTGGCTATGAATTGACGGGGCCATTGGCCTCATTTTTTACGTATTTTATTACTATGAAGACTACGCTTGTTCCGTGCTTTCCGCTCCGCCTTGTGTTACATATATTCAAGGGATTACGACGTTTCTCATGGAACAAGTTGCTTGGTCATACGATCGTTGTACATATGTGCAACATCCAACGGTAGCTCTTTTGGGTGTGTGGGCCGATATTTTTTTGCTGCAGATCATCAATGGCCGCGACTTCGTGCTCTGAATCCAGTCATTCGATCAAAGACATAGCGCCCTTCCATGTGACCTTTTCCCTTGTCCGAACCACCTCGTCTTCGTCGAGCTATTTGTTATGCACCTTATATGAATGCATTGTTGAGTGTTCGACATTCGGTCACCTCGCCGATGTGGAAGGTTTCATGTCAAATATCACAGACGGGATCGCCAAAGATATTCGACCTTGATAGCGCATCAACAAGGCCCACGAGCGTTGTGTGGGCCTGTCCTCAGCATAGCGTAAGTTTGCTGTTTGACTCCTCCTCAATTGTGTGTTGAATCGGTCTTCATTGCATGTCCATTTCGTCATCATGGTAGTCAGCCGCGCCCGAGTATCCATTCTCCAGCTCTTCTCGATCCCGATCCTTGCGCTGCTGTTCTCGTGAAGCCGCGATCTTCCTGCTCCGGGTCAGCAAAATAGTATCATCCAGATACAATAGTGTACAAACCTTAACCCGTCAATCACTCCAGTGATGAATGATCTGCCCTCTCCTATCTCCATACCCCCAACACCATTCATCTTGAAGCCACCTCCTGCATCTAGCACGTCCACCCCGCTTCTTAATTTTGCCATGCGTACTTCCCTGAGTCCCCTCAATAGTTTTCGTACGTTGTCTGGGTCTTCAAAGTCATCCGAGGCTGTCTCCAACAACATCTCGCCTAGCTCGAGCCAGTGGTAAGGCAAAGCATCTGGTGCTCCATCTGCTGTCGAGTTGGACAAGAAGGGTGCAGAGATGGGTAGGGTATTGTTCGAGGGTTGCGGAGGTAGTCTTGGAGGTGGAGAGAAGGTCTCTGCATGGTCTGTTTCGTGCTCGAGGATTGCGGTAAGAGAGTGTGTATTCAGCCATGGTGGAGGAAGGATATTTGCGCGTCGTTGGCGTTTAAGCAGCAAGGCGAGCCATAGAGGCACGTTGGCTCTATGAGGAGGATTCAGAGGTCTTATAGGTCCCTATAGATTGATTAACACTATGGCACCATACGTGACGCAGTGTGAGAGGGTTAGTGGTGGGGTGTTGGAGGGGCATACGCACCCCAAGAAGCTCAAGACCCTCGAGTCTTTGGCGAGGTATGATGGTGACGAGCTCCATTTCACACAGGAATGCAATCTCTGGGGGCGTCAGCCCCGGTGGGAGAGGCAATGCCATGTTGCGACGCGTTGCCTTGCACCTTGAATTGCTGTCCTGGCTGAGTGAAGACGCGCCGCGGAAACTCGCCGTCTTGGGACTAGCTCGCTCAGGAACATCTGCATACAAACGATCTCACCGATACTCTCACTTCTCCCTGTGACCTTCTTCTTTTGTACCTTAAGCAGAGAGACCATCAATGGCTTCTTTACTTGAGGTGTGGTCCCTGCCGGGTACTCTTATATTCATCGTTTGTCTTACTGTCAATTGGACCGAATATGTGTCAAGTAAAGTGCCAAAGCCCTACCTTGTGAGTCTGCATTCCGGTGTGACAACAGACTACTGATGATGTCAGGATGAATTTTTTCATGTTCCGCAGGCCCAAAAGTATTGTGAGGGAGACTACTCATGGGACCCAAAGATTACCACCCCACCAGGCCTGTACGATGAACATGCGCAACCATCATGGGCAGATGAACTTACTGTTGGCTTAGATATCTGGTATCAAAAGTCTTCAAACCTTTGTTAGGCTGCGAAACCCGGTTCTTACGCATGCAAAATGCAGTTGCTCTATGCGCTATTCTTCCCATGAGCTACTTCATCCTACGCATACTACGGACTCGCAACAATTCAGGCAGACTTTCCACTAAGGACTCGACTCTCTTTACCGATGTTCACTCTGCCGTCAATATCGCTCTCTTTCCTCCACTCTTCTTCTTCTCTGGACTCTACTACACCGATGTAATGTCTACTCTGGTTGTATTATTCGCTTACACTACATATCTGGCCAGTCCGCAATCATCCTTGAGTCCTTCACATGCCGCCATTGTTCTTTTATCTGGGACCGTCGCCCTATTCTTTCGACAAACTAATATTTTCTGGGTTGCTGTCTTTCCGGCCGGCCTTGCCGTTGTAAATGCCCTGAAGGCTGATGGGCCCTCGACTGCCTCGAAGTCCAAAGACATTACAGAAATCTTGCATGACAGTTGGACCACAGGAAGGATTGTTGACCCTCCAGTACAGGATGCTGAGATTCAGGGTGAGCAGACCTATACTCGTTTGAGATGTATGACAGCGGCTGATAATTAATAGATGTCATCATCTTTCTAGCATCAGTTGTAGTTGCCGCTCTCAGCAAGCCCTTACTTGTGATCAAGGTCGCTGTACCGTACGCAATTATTCTAGTTCTCTTCGCAGGCTTCGTTGTTTGGAATGGCAGTGTTGTTCTAGGTAAGTTCTCAATACATGCCGGATTCAAAAGAAGCTGACACTAGTAGGTGATAAATCCGCACATACAGCCACGATAAACATGCCGCAAATGCTGTACATCTGGCCGTACTTTGCGTTCTTCTCCATCCCACTTCTGATAGGACCATGTCTTGGGTTCGTCGTCCGAGTACTGCCAAAGCAGGTCCAGGCAACTTGCGACAAAGCTTTGAACACTTCTACTTATAGACTCCCATCTCTCATCGCATCCAGTATGTTTATTACCTGGGCATTACTCGCAGTCCATTTCAACACCATTATTCACCCATATACCTTGGCCGACAACCGACACTACGTATTTTATGTGTTCAAAGTCCTCCGGCTATACCCAGTATTGAGATATATCGCAGTGCCAGTCTACTTCATCTGCGCATGGTCCATCATCAGTGCTCTTGCGACACCGAGAAGAGCTACCCGTTCAGGCAATGAAGGCACGTTAAAGGACAAAGGCAAAGCTGGTTCTCCTCCAGTCTTTGCAGATGATCAATCTTGTAGCGTCAGCTTCGTCGTCATATGGCTAGCTGCGACTACTTTATCCGTAGTCACAGCCCCTCTGGTTGAGCCGCGATACTTTATCATTCCTTGGGTCATCTGGCGGCTGCATGTTGCACGTCACACAACCCCAAACGTTGAAGTACTACCGTCATCGTTTTGGAAATCGGTACTCGACGTACGCATGGTTTTAGAAACCATCTGGCTGCTTGCCATCAACCTGGCCGTATCGTACATCTTCTTAAACTGGACATTCACATGGCCCAACGAGCCTGGTAATCTGCAGCGCTTCATCTGGTAGATTTGGCATATGTTATTGTATCAAGCACTTGTTGCTGCTGCAACAGCAGGATACATCAGTCAAAAAATTTATATGTAATTTTCCTTGTTATCGTGTTTTGTTGTATATTATCGACCATCTTGGCTGCCCAGTATTCAATCCCGATCCAGACCATACTTCCTCACACAAGCGATATGCTGAGATGCTAGAGGAATGCATATTTTGCGACGGGTCAACTTGAAGTAATGGATGAACGTATATTTGAGACAAAGGAAAACACGGTCCGCCATGTGCACCTAGAGATATGACAAAATACACTCGCATTGATCCATACTAATACAAAAATACACAACAATGATTCCAACTCCATACGAACAAAAAAAAGAAACGCCCATCTCTTTTTTTTGGTCCAAACTCCCCTCGTCTCCGACAAATCTTACACAACAGTGCGTGGTCCAACGAACCGGTCATGTTTTTCCTCGTTTTCTGACGCGTCATTCATTTTCTGGAACGATATTCTCGGTGCACCCGCAGACTTCCGCCCAAGATGACTTATACCCTCGATGCTTTAGTCACAGCACCCTAGTGCTTGCTGTGCTCATCGCCTCCCATGGTCAACCTCAGGACGAAGTTGACAATGACAGCAGCGAACAGAGCGATGGTGAGGATGGTGGGACCCAGCCTGTCATCGAAGCCGCCCTGGCCCCTCATCCTTATGCTCCTCGCGCGCCAGTGGAAGGTAAAGAGGGCGTAAATCATGGCCATCATGGCAACAAGGGTGAAGAGGCCCGCGGAGATTTTTCCAATCTTGTCGCCAAAGTTAAGGAGACCGATCGCGAGGCCTCCGAGGATGACAGTGAAGTTGAGCCATGAGAGGAAGGTACGCTCGTTGGCGAAGAAGACCTTGGGCTCGACGCGAGTAGGGAGCGCGATGCGCTTGCCTGGAAGAAGATTGTTAGAGGAATACTGTGGGCTAAAAGTTGGTTGGCAAGGACGCGAGCTTACCCGGCGCGGTCTGGAGGAGCGGTTGGGTAGACATGACGAAAGTGGATGATGTAGTAGTGCGCTACTGGTATATCGCAACAGAGAGCTGCTCGAGGGTTTCGTGTATGCGGCCTGGGTGTCAATGGGCGGGTGTCGTACAAAGCAAAAGTCTGCACAGCTCGAGCAGTTTCAGTCGAGAAGAAGAAAGAGGCAAGAAGAGTGGAAACGTGCGTCAGAAAGCATCAGAGCTTGTCTTCTGTTGCGGGTCGCGATGAACCCAGTAGCAGACCCATGCTTCCAAGCAAAGTCCAGCACGGCAGCCAATGGTGAGGCAGCATGTGCCCATGTGATAGCGACAGAATGCGCGTTGCTGATTGGCTGTCGTTGTCAGTGTCGGGGCACAGCTGGGGCGGTGCGGCAGCTGCAAGGGCAGGCCGCAAGAAAGCAACCACGTCGGCATACGGGCACTGACCTCGACGCTAGCTCTGCTGCCAAACACGTAAACACTCACTTATCGAAGCCTCATCACGCACCACTCTGCTATAGCCTCAGGCCCTGCCAATTCTGCCCTTTTGCACATCCCCTACTTGCATTCCTACAAACAACATCACCATCACCACCATGGCTGTCAGTATTCCCTGGTATAAGAACAGAGCGCAGAGCATCTTGCTAACCGACAGCGACAGTCTCATTCACCGCTCCCCACCGATGACCTCCAGCAGATTGCCAAAACGGTAAGCACTATCTCAAAACCAGCCATCCTGGGCATCAAAGACATCACAGACTGACAATGGCAACTAGGCCTGTGAGCAAGCTGTCGGATCTGCAACATCATACGACCACACCAAAGTAGGAGACTGGAATAGCGAGATTATTGTAGGTTCATCCTCAAGCAACGCAACCCTTAACACACAATGACTGACTCACATCCCCCTCCAGCAATACATTCTCAAGACCCTCATCAGCAAAACCACCCCCGCCGCCGACTCGTCAAACCCAGATGCTCCTTCGCAACCCGCCTACAAGTACATTGCCAACAGCACAGTGATCCAACACCACGGCAACTCGCCCGCAGAGATTGAGAAGCAGGGCCGCCGTGGCATGCACAGCGCTGTTGGTGCCTTCTGGAACAACGAGAAGGACGGAACATACACCTACAAGTGGGAGGCTGCCGACAGCAAGGGCATGGACATTGTCATCACCATTACCTGGATTGCCATCTAGAAAGCAACTCATAGAAAGCGTCATGGCAGGAATCGGTGGGCGATGTTGCATTTTCCCAGCGGAAGATTAGCTTTGCTGAAATCACTGGCTGTCGCAAAAAACAGGGGGTGAATGAAGTTGCTGGCTGCCTGTCTGACTTGGATACGCTGTCCGAGTGCTGTTTCCTTCTACATCTGCTTTTCCTCATGGCTAGTGGCGTTGAAAAGCTGAAGACAGCGAAATTGATACCTATTGCCTTTTGATTGTCCGTGCCTTTATAGTGAACAGTCCGTGGCTCTACCTTGTTGTGTTGCACAGTCCAACAACAGATCCTCTCGTACCGATCCCCTCGTTCCGCCGTGTCGTATCGTGTCGTGTCATACCGTGCGTGTTCAAGTGGAGCCCAGCGGGCACCTGCATGAATGACGTGCGTCGAGTGTTTGAACATGATATGTATTTGTGCGTAAATAGTCATCTTCTCGTTCCTTCATCCGCATCAATATCATCATGGCCACATGCATCCCGCACCCCGAATTCATCATTCCCACCCATCCCACCCCATGGAAGCGCAGTGCAACCCACATACACACACACAAAAGAACATCAGCCACCCAGGCGCAATCAAAGAGGTATATCAAAGCACTCACGTGCCAAACAGGATCAAGGACAAGGGAAACAAAAAAGCAAAACACAGCCAAACAGCTATCATCGAAATAGTTTAGGCCTCCACCTTTGGGCTCTTGGCCTGTGTTCCCACGCCGTCTGTGTGCGCAGAGCTACTCCGTCCAGTGGCCACCTGCCCCCGCTTGTTCATGAGCGCCTTGAGCTCTTCCGTTGTGCTCTTGCCGCCGCTCTTCTCCGTAATCAGGCTCTTCAACCACGCATTCTCCGTCTGCAGCTGCTCAATCGTGGCTTCGAGCTTGGCCACCTTCTCCTGTGCCTCCTTCTGCGACTGCTCGAGAGCCTGCTCACGCTGCTTCTTCTTGATGCGGAAGCGGGCGCTTGCGGCGGTGTTGCGGCGACGCTTGTCTTCTTCTGCGGCGATGCGAGCGTTCTCGTCGAGTGAATGCGGCATCACGGGCGCGACATTATCGAGCTTGCGCTTCTTGGATGCTTGGTCATAGCCTGGTGTGATTGGCGACAGTGATGAGTTGGGTGAGGCGAAGTCCGGGGCCAGCGGGTAGTGGTTGGGCTGACCGTGTGGCAGCGGCAGGGCCGGATCAAAGGCAGCATTGTTAGGAAAGTTGTTGAAGTCGGTAAAGGGGAAGTCGCCTACAAGCAGATCGAGGTCAGTCATGGCTCAACAAGACAGACCACAAGGCGGCATGTGGAGGGCGCAAGGTAAATGATCCGTTTCACGCAGCCCAAGCAGTGTTGCGTGCTTGAGACCATGCTTAGCAGCAGGGCTGCATAGAGACGCCGTCCGCTGACTGGTTAATTTGCATAGTGTGGGGGTTACAATGCAGGCAACACAGCATGGCGGGGTTGGGGTTGGCTTGTGTCTCTTCAACCTGCCATTGGACGGCGTGTTACAGACCACTATACGGCGGCTGCAGCGACCCTTCCTCGACGAGGGTCCAGCCCATTGCGACAGAAAATGACAATGTGAACAATAGCAACAAGACACACACGTACCGTTCAAGTTGAAATCCATGCTTGCGCTCGTAGCGGGTTGGAATCTCTCGGGACTCTTCAGCGGCCGTGACGACTGGTTGTCGAAATTGATATCGAAATTGCCTGCGTTTCCAAAGTCGGCGCTGGCGTGGCGGGCGTTGCTGACGTCGAAGAAGTCGGCGTTGAGGAAGTCAGAGAAGTCCTCTGCTGGCGCGGGATCGGCGAGCAGGTCCTGCTGGGGCGATGGCTGGTTGAGCGTCGCGATATACTGGGACACGTTGGGCCCTCGCTGCCCCTTGTAGGATGACATGAGCGTTTTGTGGTGTTTCCAGTCGAAATGGAGATGGGGAGGATGAAGTTGCTGGAGTCTGATCGATGCAACTGGGGGTGGGCTTCGGAGTGAGTTTTCGACGGCCAAACCCGTGTTGAGGGATAGCGGGTCCGATTGCGCTTTTGGCTCCGCTTTGTGCGAAATTGGGCGGCGGCCTTGGGATGGTGTTCCTTGCAGCGACCCGCTAGTTCTCGATGTATGCAAGAGTTTTCACGAGAAACTCTGTAAGATGCGCAAAAAGAAAAGAGAGAGCTGTATGTATGTGTGAGTGAGAGAGAGAGAATAGTGGTGACGTTTGATGATTGCCGAGATACGCAGGGCATTAGAGAACCTCCACAACCCCCCCGCGGAGGAATTTCTAGTCACTGTGTTAGGCGGTTGGAAAAATGGGCGCAGCCGGAGTATGGCCGAGAGAACCACCCCACGTGCGGGTTGAGCACCGCACTTCGGAATTAATTGCGACGCTCGTATATCCAAACCTAAAAGACACATGTACTACGCAACAGAGGAACACTCTTTTCGCATTTTGCGCGGCCATCTCATATTCTCATATCAACAGGCTTATACTGCCCTTTGCGCCCTTTTGTTGACTTGTTGGATTATTCAGAGCTGTGAGTTTGTAATCAATGACCATCGCGCTAGCCGCCTATTGATCAGGCGGCCACTCGGTTCCGCCCGATTTTTCTCCCTCGATTTACGGCGGTAATCCACCGGCAGATTCATATGCAGCAGCGGCATCGCCCTGGACCCTTGCACACATTGTGAGTAGTAAAAAAAAGGGTAGAAATGATCACTTATACGCCCGCCCCACCGAAGAACTACTGGACAAGTCACAGAGTTTGAGCACATTATTTAGACGCATGTACTACACCTACATAACGCAGGGGAGTGAAGATGAAGGGACTCTTCGAATTGCACATGTCAGTGGACACACTCGAGATGTGGATCGGGTCATTATGACGGCTAGGCAGTGCGTTAGGCCTGTTTTCACACACGCTTCTGGAAAGTAGCCCATTGCTCTGCAGTAGTAAAACGTATTGGTCAACTTGGAGCTGATGCGGGGCTAACGTCGTATATACATACTACTTTTGTATTAGTACGTTGCGCGTGGGAGCAAAGCGCTTGCCACACGGCTGTTACGCTACATGATTATCTAAATTCCCCGAGTTACAAATGTTGGCAAAAGCGCTTAGGCTCAGCAGTGATTCAAAAAAAGTACAGTACGTAGTAGCAAAGAGATGATGGAGTGAGTACGTAGTTTGATTATTCTGGTTGTGGTCAAAACCACATACTGGAAAGCTGCTTTATACGCTTCATGATGTGTTCCTGCAGCATGGGTGCATATGCAGATAATCAAAATGTGTGTTTGCATCTTAGGTCGGACCTTGAAACAATTACAGACACTTGTTCTCTTCAAGTACGTTGGTGTAGGTATGCCGTTACTTGGGTACGTTCCTACACACAACCGAGGACGTCACGTGGCAGCAGGGTTAACGCGTCTGACCGCCTGAGCGCGACTCACTCCCTGGATATTATCGATAAACACTTCTACCATCAACAACAATCCTGACCCCTCCCATGCCGACGAGAAAAGCACAGATGCAATGGCTGCCGCCCCGGACTACAAGAATATCCCGCACTCGCATCGTCTACCCGTAAACCACCGCGAAGTCCAGCGCACCTTCACCAAGCTCTCCCGCCAATCGCTCATATCGCTCGCACTACAATGGCTCAGTAAAAAGAACCGTGACTTCTGCAAGCCCTTTCTTCTGGATGAGCGGACGGAAGAGGATGAAGAGGAGGTATATGAGCCGGCGCAAAGCTATGAGGTACTCCAGGAGATCTACAAGCAGCTGGCTGCACGCAAAGGCGGCAGGAGAGAGGTTCTGGATCGCATACTCGAGGGAGATTGGAGACACGGTATATCCATGTACCAGTTGGCCACAGCAGAGATACAGTACCTGCTCGACCACCCCAATGCCCTGCGCTGGACAGCGAAGCGCCTCACAAAGATACCGAATGCGCGATCACCAGTGACAGACATGGAGGTCACAAACGACTCTGACCACCTTCCCCGATTCCAAGCGCAAACTTTCATGTCAAATCTCGCGAGAGAACTGACACCGCTGATGAAAGCCCACTACCTTATCACACGAATAAAGACATCGCCAATGACAATACTACGGGTCTATATACACGATTCGCCGTACAGCAACGAGGCATCGCTGGCAGTTGAATCGAGTAATACCGACCATGCCAAAGCCGTCTTCTTTGTCTGGCCTAACGGTTCGCCTTTTGTATACTCGTCACTAGCAACACTTACTGGCCAAGTTGTTGGTGACGATGGGCGGCATCTTAGAGAGATTGTACAGCAGGCAATACCCAAAGCCTTTTCCAGACCTTCTGCGCGCTACCAGTTGACCGGAACCAACTTCACAACCAAGTCGCTCGATGCATTATTGACATATCGAGGGCCTGGCAAAAGCAATGCCGCAGCAGGTGGCTGGAGTATCTTTCAGGATCACAGTTTTAGTCAGAATGCTCTAGACTTCATCACTACGCAAAAAGGTGACAAGCACGACAAGCCTTCAGGTGACAAGATCAATGCGGATAAGGCCGTCCCAGGAAGACCCAAAAGACCATTAGACGAAAAGGAACCTCCAGAGTCTAAACGGCGGAAAGAGGTGGCCGCTGGCAGGTTCGGTACCTCGGCACAACCAGACGACGGGCAAGGACTTGAACGAGTCGAAGTTCGGATTGACGATCCGTTCCCAGCTACTTCAAACAATGACGGCAGTGCACAAGTTGACGGCGAAACACCCAATCGCGGAGTTCAAATAGCAAATCGTACACGGCGTGGTCGTCCTTCGCTCCTTGAGAGAACCGACGAAGACCTAGAGGAGATTGGAAATGAAGAAGGATGGGTACCTAATGTGCGGATTACGTTTCAAGGCACCCACGTCTTTGCCGGCATGAGGCAATTAGTCGAAGAAGGCATTGTAGACGGCGAAAAGATGCCTGGTTGGATGACTGGCGAGGCAGGCATCACAATAGGATCAGTGAAAGATGGGCGGATCCGAAGTAAGGATGGTGTCCCGGGCGTTTGACTGAGTCGTAAAAAGTTCAATGCGTGGCGCTCAAAGGTGTTTTGATATTGATATACCCATCCCGCTTTTTTGCTTTCTCCTTGTGTAGAGACCGAGGCAGCGATATTTTTTTTGGATAGCTGAATCTACAAAGGCATCGGCCGTCTCCACTATATCTCCCTCCACCCTGAGCTTGAGTCATCTAGGCTTTTCTTCAGGGTGCCCACATCTCTGGCAAGTTGAGCCTCATGTGGCTTTGCACTCATCCGACCCCGAGCCTCTTGTTTCCCGCCGCACACAAGCCACGTCATTCCGACCCGCTCCGCTTGAGCGTATCTTGGCGTATACGCTCACAAGCCACAGCTAGACCTGTTGGCGGTCTAGCCGGAAAACACGGCAGGCGCAAAAAGTTTGTAAGATACGCGCGTAAAGGCAAAAAACGGCGGGTTGATGTCATTGCTGCAGTTTGAGTTGACGCCTCGCGGCCTTGCATCCATCAGGCCTGTGGGCTGCCCCGGATTGGGTGTGGCGTACTTGTGGCTGGTGCACGGGCTATCGTCCCCAGCAAGGGTTGCGCTGCCGTGTTTTCCGACTCGACCCAGTAAGGCAGATTTGCCAGTATCTTATTGCATACTTGAGGGCCAAAACATGGTCATGTGGTCTCGTGTTGCGGTCTACCCGACTTGATCCAAGCGTTTGCGGCTACGTCTGCTGAACTTGTGGGCAGGGGTTAATGTGGGTTATGGGTGCGGGAGACCGCGTGTGGTTGGGTTAGACAAGGAGGAATGAACGATTACATGTAAGTCATGTACGCTGTGCGGAAACCCGGTGAGTTAAGTGTCTTTTTTTTGCTTGAGTTTCCCCACCCCAAGACGCTTGGATCCGGTAGGGTTTATGCTTCTTGCGTACCATGAAGGACGATACCGCGGCTTGGCGGGTAGGAAAGGATGGTGCATATATAGTTTGCGTGATGCCCTGATATCAGGATATTTTCTTTCCGAGTGAATCATCTCTCACAAGTAATCAATCTATGCCATACTATCCAAAGACTACTAGCATCTACTCTACTTCATCGTCATCAGAAGAAGAACACTACTACATACCTTCTCGAGACCAACGCCATAACTACAACTGGGACACCAACCAACCACACACCCTCATCCCTCAGCTCAACACCGCAACCACCTTTTCCACCAAATCCCCAACATCCCTGCCGATGACAGACTCCTCGCACCACCACCAACCCATCGACGCGCGAGCCCTGCACTCCCGCCTCGCTGTCATCACCAGCAACAACAACAATAGCAACGAAACCACCACCGACCATGGATCCCCCCACCGACGTCTCCGACCCTCCCTTGATAGCACCATCACCACCAACAACACTCTCCCCTTCACCAAATCCTCGACAATCTCCACCTTTGACTCGCACACCTCCACCACCTCCTCGCGCCTCCACGCCTCCCCAAGCAGCAGACTGCACCCGGAGACCGTGGGCATCGCGCCCGGCGACTTCAGCAAGCCAAGAGTGCCCCGGCGAAGCCGCAGATACACCATGGAGAGTAGCACGAGCAGTGGGAGTGCCAGGAGGGAAAGGGAGGAGCCGGCGCAGTTTAAATATTACGGGCGCCATGGCAATCAGTGGCTCTTCAATGATTTTAGTGTTAGCGGGGCGGTGGCAAAAGGGTTTAGGAGGGTGTTTAGGGGGAAAGGGGAGGAAGGGAAGGGGGATTGGTATGAGGATCGGGAGGGGAGGTGAAAGGGAGATTATTGTCAGGGGAGAGATTGGAGAGGTGAAGGCGAGTGGGAGTGGGTATGTAGAGTGTAGTGGGTTTGAAGGCCAATGGGGAGAATCGAGTACAAAACATACGGCTTCTTCTTCTTCTTCTTTTTTTGGGGGGGGCATGTGAAGTGATGTTGAGTGATGTGGTGAATTGAATGATTGATTGTCATCCCCCCCCCCTCCCCAAGAGTGATTTAACTGGGAAATTCAAAGGTTAATAAGTGGATGAAATAATCAAGACGAGGGATGTTGTCAAGTAAAAGATATCATTATGCTTTTTTTTGCATATATAAGTCGGTATATGTCTACAGTAGAGATATGCTCATGCTGGGGTTTGTGTATATGTCATGCTCACATGCAAAATCGCCCATTGTTGCGCCGCACTATGCATTGCCATGTTGGGAAGATTTGCCCAAAGAAAAAAAAACCCCTCTCAACGCCACGCTCGCTATGGAAAGAAAAAGAAACCTATTGTTTTGGAGGTCCGCATTACTGGTCATCATCAACGACCTAGTTGAAAGGATAGCTATGATCTACGCCTGATCTTTTTTTTCGGTGACAATATCCTTGCCCATGTGTCTATTCGTATGGTAGTAATAGTTGTAGGAGAACGGTCGTCTACAATAATGGTTGAGTAGAGAAGAGGACTCTATCCACGCTTCCAGAACTCATATTTCTTCTTTGGTGCTTTTTCGGTTACCGGGACAGCGTCCATCTGGTACGCCTCTTCGTTGCCTCTCTTCTTGCCCTTCTTGACGTCTCGTCTCGACGCGCAACAGCAGCAAAGCCCCGTCTGCACAAGCCATGCGAAAATCGCAAAGGCGCTGGCCACCCACATGAAGGCGAATAGTGTTGTCCCAATCTGAGCACCGATGTTGAGCTCTGACACGCCAGTGATGGTGTTGTGAAAGATGACAAACATGACGGTAGCGATGACCGACGCGACGGTGACGAAGAGGGCGTTGAGGAAGGCAAGAATGGCGACAGGGAGGGTGAGCCAGCGTGTGTAGACGGAGATGGGCATGACGAAGATGAGGACGAAAGAGAGGACAGTGGCGGTGAGGAAGAGACCAAACATCCAATTGGAGACGAGGTGGATCAGGTCCAAGATGTCGTTGATGTTTGCAGGAAGATTGACTAGTGGACATGGTTAGTTCGCAGCCGGACTCGCAACGACGCAGGTCAACTTACTCGACGCTCCCGCAAGCAGCTCGTTACGCAGAATCTCAACGGGGTTGAACCAATATAGGGTCGTCGGCTTGCTGCAAGAGGTTACGCCTTGGCCCTTGTACCCTGAGCAGAAACCCCATAACCCGACCTGGTAGAAATCATGGAGACCCAGCGTTTGCGCGATAGTGTTGATGAGAGCGAAATTGGGCACGCTAGCAGGTACAATTTTACTCAGGTCGAGGCGAATGAAGTACCAGTTTCTAATAACAGGCTTGTTGCGCACGCCGGCGATATTGACAAGGATCAGGAAGATGAAGGTGAGGAAGAGAAAAAAGGAGGTTGCCAGCGCCCATCTTTTGCGCCTGCGAGTTGCGAGCTTGATTTGCTCTTTGCTCAGTTCCGGAACAGGTTCGGCAGGTGTGTTATCCGATGTGCGTTTGCGAGAGAAGAATGGCATGATGGTGGTGGGAAGGGTTGCAGCAGGTGTGGCGGACGGGTGTGGCGCGTGTAGTGGTTGGGTGGTTGATTTGCAAGAGGGGGAGAGAGAGAACCAGAAGCACGACGAAACAATGCAAAGCCCAAAAGATGAGGAATGGGGGAGAATGGTGAAACCAAGCGGTCAAGTATAGCGAAGCCCAATAAGAAGGCCCAAGAGGAAAAACAGGCCAGGACCAGACACCAACCTCATACGCGCGTGCTGCAGCAGCACTGGCGAGTTTTATGGACCCTTTCCGAAGATCTTAAGCCATGACGTATAAGGCGCCAAAAACAGAACTAGACACAGGCGCGAGCCACACAGGCGTCATGGATTGGGGGCTCGACAAGAGAATGGATGCACTGGTCTCGACACGACACGACGTCTGGCTGAAGCACCGGCGTCGACGACTTGTTTAGCACCGTCGTGGCCTTCCCCGGCCGCGTATGCAACTGCTGTGCACACGCGGCTGGCTCCTCCCTGTTGCCCTGGTTCTGGCCCCGAGTAACGTATACTGTACATACGAGTAAACAATAAAACAAGGGCGGCTCTTTTGTGGCTGTGTCTGCAAACAGAGTGCAGTGCAAATAGAGTGTGCAGGTGGCCTGTAAGACTGGCACGGCGCAGAGCCGCGTGCATCGTCAGCCTCGTCTAGGCTGCGCAAGCAGAAGAGTGCCACGACAGGGGCCAGAAACGCTGCCGACCTTGGCCCGCCCCAGTCCAGCGTGGCATTCACTTGGCCAACACAACACATCACTCAGGCCATGGTCGTGTAGTACTCTCGATACACTTCACACATCACTCGATAGTAAGCGACCCCGTGCGGATCCTGGAGAGGAGTTTTTTTTTCAAATACCTCTTGCTTTCCATTCCTCTATATGTTTTGCTCGAATATTTCACACGTCGACACACGGCCTTGGCCACCGTGCTGTCACTCCACCAAGCCACCACGTTGCTCCAACTCTCTCCTCCCCAACTGCTGCTTACAAGAATATAAATTAGACATTGGTAACGCCGGTTCCCTCGCTGAATTGCCCTAGAAAATGAGTATAATCTGCCGGTCTGGCAATGACCGCGATGGAGAAATAGTAAACAAAAGAGGCTTGCATGTCCCTTGTAGCAACAAAGACTGGGAGACGACACTGTGTGGATAGCCAGCGCTCGCTATGTTTGTCCCACGATACCCATCAAAATTGTCATGTACGCCCAAAACGGCATACTGTCCAAGCAAAAAAAGAAACTTGACGTCACAAGCTTTTGGCGTTTGGTACAGGCAACGGGGCCCAAAGCTCTTCCAGCGAGCTGCTCAATGTCAGTCATCAACAATGCCCAGAGGCAACGTCGCCACGTCTTTAGGCACTCTCCACCAGGTTCATCCTGGGCCTTAGTTGCAGAGCAATGTCATCTTTGGTACCCATGATTTCTCGCGGTATCCTGCTGACACGGTTGGCTCCACTGCGCACTGCAAATCGACCAGCAGCAGAGATACCAGAGCGGTTCGAGCGGATAGATCCGGCATCTGAGCCGGCACCGGCAGGATCGCGGATACGGCCAGGTGGAGCAAAGTCAAGGGCAGTAAAGGTACCAGACTTGCGCATGAGATGGGGACTGGGCAGCACTGGGAGCTCATCATAGGAACCGACAAGGGGCGTGTGGGGGCGCACAGACGGGCTGTACGGCCTTGCACCACCAAGAGGACTGTCTGGTCGCATGCCGTTTTGCCTCTCACGGAAAGAGACTGGTGGCGCAAAATCCGCAGCGTCAAACACCATCGAGTTCTCGTTGAGCTTGGCAGGGGTTGGCAGTGACGCGAGAGCAGCAGGTGGAGGCAGAGGCTTCTTCATTGGTGGGGGTAGACGGCCGCTCATTGACGACATACCACGAGGGGGTTGGTATTGCGATGAAGCCATGGAGCCGTTGGACATGTGAGGACCGCGTGGACCCGTAGCGGTGTTGCTACGGAACCGAGGAGGTGCGCGAGGTGGAGGAGTCATGGCACGGCGAGTAATCGGCTCAGCAAACGGCGCGTTGGGCTGGGCAACGACGAAGTTGCCAGTGCGTGGGTCAAACACAGTACCGTCCTGGTATTCAGAACCATAGTCCTCGACGTAATCGGCGTATTGGTGTCCACCAGCGGGTTCGGGCTTGGAGTCGTCAAAGTATTCCTTGTAGAAAGATCGGATACGGTTGGCACGCTCTTCGGGGTTCTCCATAGGGTCATCGGAAGGCATAGGACGCAGGCTCATTGACAGACGGTTGTTGCTGTGACCAAAGTCATCCACTCCGAGGCCAAGGTTCTGGGGACCAGTCGAGTATCGGGGCTTGGGCGCGGCAATGGTTGGCTGATCGCTGTTACGAGGAGAAGGTGGTGTGACTTCGAAACCATCGCCATAGCTAGAAGTGCTGATGATGCTGTGGTGTGTGTTGGCGGTTTCTAGAACAACGGCTTGCGACTGGATACGGGGCAGTGAGGGAATCTCGTTGGTGGTCTGGACAGGTGACTTGTTGACTTGCTTCTCGATGACGGAGGGTTCAGGGATAGAGATGGTCGGGACGTTGGTAGGCTTGGAGGCGACGGGAGTAGCATGTGCAGGGGCGGGAGCAGGAGCAGGAGCAGCAGGCAGGGCTTCAGGTTCATATCGCGGGTTCAACGGACTCAGGGGAATTCCAGCCTCGGGGAACTTGCTGTCTGGTGACCTGGTGCTAATAGGAGACAGAGACTCGCCGCGGACTGGGTTGGATGTCGACATTCTTTGCGCATTCTGGAGGAGACCAGCCTGAAGACCTTCCTTCTTTGTTCCCGAGCTGGAAGCAGTGTACACGGAGTTGGTGTCGCCCTTGTATGGTCCATGGCTTTGGCTGCGGAGGCTCTGGTCATCCCTCAAGAAAGCGACTGGGCCGTAGGGGTCATGGGGGTCGTGCTGCGAGCGCGAAAGCGAGTGGAACGACTCGCGAGAGCCGTGTAGACCAGGGGGTAGGATGTATGGGCTTCCAGTTTCAATGGACAGACCGCGGTCGTGACCTCCAGAGATTTCTTTCTCAGAAACGCTCATTTCAGGGCCACCCTTTTTACCCGCCTTGGGTACGACGCCTTCCATACCCCAATCGTGGGACTTGTATTTGTCTCTCTGATCCTCCTCCCTAAGCTTTTGCTTGTTGCGACGATGTAAGAAGGCGAGTACAACAGCGATGCCAACAACAGGAACACTAGGCATGGTTAGCGGAGTTGGCGGAATGACAGTGTATCACATACACGATAGCTAGTGCGATAGCCAGCATAGGCACTTGGGTTGGCTTTGTGCAGCCGGGTTCGCTGCTGCTTGTGCATTCG